AATACATCATAAGGAAATCTGGATTAGATTTAAATGAAGGTGGAATGAAAATTGGTGAAAGGAACATCAACAATTTGAGATTTGCAGATGACACCACATTATTAGCAGAAGACAGTGTGTCAGATCTTGAAGAAACTCACTCCCAACAACACTCTCTTGGCAGTGCTTTGTTTATTGAGAGTTAAAGAGGTCTCAAGCATAGATGATCTGTGTCAGAACTTACTCCCTTGGCGCCAGTTCTCATATTATACATAATTCGAACAGCCCCTGCCCTTATGAGCAGTCCAATCACACCAATACATCCAGCCTGCCAAAATCTACTGTGCACCATTAGCCCTCTTCCAACATCTGCAAGCATAGGGTTACATTATCTAGCAGTGTCTGGTACCTAAGGACAAGCACGCATTCTTCCCTTGGAAGGGAGGCCCCACATAGATGCAGTTACAAGTATAGTGAGACTCCCAGCAAAGTGGTTCTGCATATGCCCCCTCACACACTCACACACTCCCCTTCTCCCAGCCAGAATGAAACAGGACAATAAGCATACAGAACCAAAGACAGACTGACAGTTAAGAAACCCATGGTAAATGAGGCCCAAGTTTGACACAGTGAAGACCTGAAGCGACCACTGATTAAGGTTAAAGCAGAAAGTTCCTTGATTACAGCTGAACATCAAGAAGACAGAAGTAATGTCTACTGGTGAATTATACAACTTTAAGATTGATGCTGAAGAAATTGAAATAGTTCACTATTTTCTATTCCTTGGCTCCATCATCAATCAAAAGGGAGACTATACCCAAGAAGTCAGAAGGAGACTGAAACTGGAGAGGGTATCCATGAAGGAGCTAGAAAAGATCCTTAAGTGTAAAGATGTGCTGTTCGTGACCAAGATCATTCCCCTTTACTATGTATGTGTGTGAAAGCTGGACAATGAAGAAAGCTGACAGGAAGAAACTAGCCAGTTTGGTGTAGTGGTTAAGTGCACGGACTCTAATCTGGGAGAACCAAGTTTGATTCCCCACTCCTCCACTTGCAGCTGCTGTATGATCTTGGGCAAGCCATTGTTCTGTCATAGCTGTCCTTGAAAGAGCAGTTTTTGAAAGAGTTCTCTCAGCCCCACCTACCTCACAGGGTGTTTGTTGTGGGGAAGGGAAGGGAAAGGAGTTTGTAAGCTGCTCTGAGACTCTGAGTGAAGGGTGGGGTATAAATCCAATCTCTTCTCTCCTCTTCTAGATTCATTTGAAATGTGGTGTCGGAGGAGAGTTTTGGTATGGGCCGCCAAAAAGACAATAAGTGGGTCCTAGACCAAATCAAGCCTGCCTAAACTGAGGCTATCATATTTTGTTCACATTATTAGAAGAGTCACTGAAAAATACATTAATGCCAGGAAAAGTTAAATGCAGCAGGAAAAGAAGAAGACCCAGCATGAGATGGATTGATTCGATGAAAGAAGCCACGACCGTCAGTTTGCAAGACCTGAGAATAGCTAAAATAGGAGGTTTTGGAGAATGTTAATTCCAGGCCTGTAGCCAGGATTTTGTGGCTTGTGGAGCAATTTTTTTTCTGGTGGGGCTGAAGTTTTCGGTGCAGAAAGAAAAGCTAGAATTCTGAGGATTATGACTCAGCTACTGTGGAATCAAGCCTCTTCTGTTCTGCCAGAGCTGTTCTCTCAAGGACAGTTTTGGAAAGAGCTCTCTCAGCCCCGCCTACCTCACAGGGTGTCTGTTGTGGGGAGAGGAAGGGAAAGGAGTTCGTAAGCCACTGTGAGACTCTGAATGAAGGGCGGGGTATAAATCCAATCTCTTCTTCATCATCTTCTAAAATCAAAGCATAGAGGCTTCTGCAAATCTTAGCCCCAGAGTGTGACAGTAGTAGGCTGAGAAGGGGGGGGGGAGGGAGAATACATTTTCTGGAAGATGGTAGGCTTTTATCTGGGTTTGGCCAGTAAACTCACGGCAATTTGTATAAAAACACATAAAACTTCATTTACAAAAACAAAGGACAAACAACACATAGAATTCAGCAGGGAATGCAATCCAAATAAAAACCTAGCTGGCTGTTCTACTCACTAGTTTTCCTATCAGGCTTGTGTCTCAACTGGCGTTCCTGATGAGCAGAGTCTCAGGAAGAATAGCAGCATATTTCAAGGCAGCCTCTTCTCTCTCTGAGTCTTCTCAAGCTGTCTATTCTGCATAGGTGTTCTTAACCATTTAGCCAATAGAAAGCTGTTACCAGGATAGATCTATAAATTGCAAGCTGTCAACCACTTTAGATGACAGTTCTCAGCTGCTGCAAGTTAATCACTTCTGCCAGCCTAAGCAACAGTACTAATAACAAGCCGGCAGGTGGGGGTGATGACTTCTATAGTCAAGAAAGCTAATAGGCAGAAAAACTATCTTAAAGGAGACCAGTTTCTTGACACAGAGTTAGAAGGGATCCTAGAGGTCTCCTACTCCAACCCCCTTGCTCAGTGCAGGAATTAGTCAACTACAGCACCCCACTTTGCTTAAAGGAGCACATGCCTTTTAAAATGTTTTTAAATGGTTGAAAAAAAAAACACTTACAGGAGAAAATCTTGCAGGGCTTTGCCTTTAAAAAAGGGGGCGGAGCTCCCAAAAGCCCCACTGTAGCTACAGGTCTGGTTAATTCATAAGTTGCCATAGATTGGAAATGACTTAATGGCACTTAACACACATGCACTCAGAAACAAGTCCTGTTCAGGAAAGGTTCCACTATTCCCTGCAATTTCCCTTTTGTTCTTTTAAAAAAATATCCTAGTTAATTAGTACTTTTTGTGTCTGGCCACTTCATTAATCAATCAATTATTAATTATTGTTTACTGTACGGGATAATTAAATGGCATTACTACTGTAATTTTTGACTGTGCTTGCTGCAAAGTGAAAAGCAATACTTCAGCCCTCTCCCCAAAGAACTATTTAACGAATGAATGGTTTCCCACTCGGTGCAGACTAGTGCTGTTACTGCATTAAAAAAAACCCTGAAAGAAACCAGTGCAACAGAAGATGGGGGAGTACATTGTAGAAAACACAGGAATGCAATAGGTTGCCAATGAATCTGGATTCTCAATAAAACTGACTGAATGGCAATTAAATACTAAATAGGTAGGGTGGCAATAACCTAAGGTTACCCAAGGATAACAGAAAGAATGCTGGTGTTTCTTTACTGCCATTTGGGGTCCTGAGCTAAGCAGACCCTTCCTGTAACAAGTTCTTAGACAGTGAACTGATGACTCCAGGATAATAGTGAGTCAACTAATATCCTAACTTTCCTAAATACACCATGGATTACCTGCCTTAGGCCCAGTGCTAGGAAGTGTTCCCCCCACCCCACTTCCCCACAGCATCATAATATATTTGTGCACCTCTTGAGGTTGTTTTCCTGGCTTTTCTATGCTCTTTCTCAAACCTGCTTTCCTATGAAGTTTTGGGAAGTCTTGCAGTAAAGCCTGGATGGCTGCCAGTTGGGTGAAAAAGTTCAGAATTTCTTGCCCACGCGGCAGCCATTTCCCCCGACTCTGTCCCTGCCACAGCCATTTTCTCCCCTCACTGCAACAAGATTTTTAAAAAAAATTAATGAAAACTCAATATTGCCCTGGAAACGGTCCCTGTCCCTAGCCCATTTGATTGGCCAGCCCTGAACAGGAGGTGCCTGACCAAGCTGGTATCCAGGCAGGGTGAGGCTGAGTGGGCCCTAGCCAGGCAAGGTAAGGCCAGGGTGGGTGGCCTCATCCTGTCTAGTCCCTCATTATGGCAAGGCCAGATGTGTTCTATCCCTTGCTGCAGAAGGTGGGTTGAGAAGACATTTTTCTCAGTGCAATGAGCGCTTTTTCCTTGTGTCTACCCTTCTTTTGGTGCTGGGGTCATGGGGGGTGGCCACCCAGACTGGCCCACCAGTTGTCTTAGTGGCCAATCCACCACTGATTCCCATCTTCCCTTTTTAAAGTAAGTCTCTAGCATCTTCCTTTGCAGAGGTATAAGGAGGGCTAGAGACTTGTTTCTAAAAAATGAAAGCAGGGAATTCAGAAAATCTGTCACACATATTTTTAATAATGGTATAACAATATTCAGTTGTCAGGGTTTTTTTTTAAAAAAATGAAAAGGTGCCAGTGGCCCAGGGGAGGGGGGATGGCCACTGCTGCAGAATGAGGGTGGGGGAACTGCAAGGAAACCTGCTGTGTAGAAGCCCCATTGCTGCTGCACTGTATCAGCACAAGCCCATCTCCATGTGGAAACCACCTATAACTGATAACCAGTGCAGCATTGTTGCCTTTAGTCTGCAGTCTTGAGTAGAGATGTGAAGGCCCGGAAAAAAACCCGGAAAAATTCGGGGGGAAAACGGTTTTTTTCCCCTTTTTTTCCTGAAGCCTTTTTTGTTTTTTTCCGAAAAATTGAAAAAAGAAAAGAAAAGAAACTGATTATGGAACATTTTATTTTAACATGATGAATAAAATATTTTAAGATAAGGTGTTCAAATATTTTCCAAATAATTTCTAATATTTATATATATGGTATCAGATTGATCTGATTTTTGTGCACTGAGGACAAGCAAGTCCTAGGTTACAAACTGAACTCTCCAATGCAAGAACAAGATGCATTCCTTGCTTTAGGAGGTGCTATTGTCAGAAGAAAATAAAAAGGTTTCAGTTTTGTTTTTGCATGTGGGTGGGTATTCTGTTTGTAATAATTGTTTGGATACACTATATTTTTAATATGCTAGTTGTGATAATTTCATGCCAAGTAAAAATGTCCATAGTCATATTTTATGTTCCTAAAGTAACAGAATGACTTTCAATCTAGAAAAGACAAAAAAATGCTAATGTAGCATTTTTTTCAATTTTTCCGAAAAGTTCCGTTTTCCCCCGAAAAAAACAGGAAAAAAACAACGGGGTTTTTTCCGAGCTTCAAAATTTCCGGAAATTTTACATCTCTAGTCTTGAGGGCTCCACTTGGATTCCCTTTAAGAATGACCATTGCCATTACCTTAAAGTAGACTGGTTCCACTTTGTGCTTGACAGCATGTGCCTTGCCCACCAAGGCCAGTACAGAGGAGACCTTCTCTGGATCGAAGATGTTCTCCACCACACTGTTAATAGCCCCCATGACCCGTCTGGCATGTTTACGCAGCTGCAAACTCCTCTCCATCTCTAGCGGATCTTCCATGTGTTTGAATTGGCTGAAGTACTGCTTGGCAGATGGGAAGTTGACAAAAAACCTGCATAGTGTAGTTAAGGAGAGAAAGACAGAAGAGAAAGAAAAGCTCCATCAGTTTGAGAGAAACATAGTATATGAACAGCATGGGTGAAAATAGGATGCCTGGAGACAGAGACTCTAGCAGCTAGACCCAGGTAATCCATGCAAATTTGAGTTTTACAAGAGTTCGAATGCTCATACATAATCTCCATGCTCTTCAACAGAGTTTGCACAGGGAAATTCAACTCACTGGGACTGGTGCAGCACTCTCTTCACTGATGAAACCCCTTGACATGCTTGAAATCTATACTTCCGTGAGTGTGTTGTTCCTTCTGTTGTACTCCTGCTCCCTCTCCTCATTCTGGAGCTGCTGTGGAAGTGTGTTTCTGGGTCTTTGTGTGGCACAGAAAGTCAGCACAGGAAATGTTCAACATAACATCGAAGGTCATCCCCTGATGCCTGCAAGGTCTGCATTTCAAAGATATGCCTTGCTTAATTAACCTCGTTCATCTCCCCTTTCATGTGATGCACCACAAAAACATGGTCCATGGTCCATCTCAAACCCACTTAAGCTGTTCCAGATCCCTGCTTCCTCTCTCTTGCATACATTACATTACTAAAGAGCAGACTCTGTCATTTCCCATTTTATTATGCTCTTGCCTCTTGGCTGAATCTTACACAGGAGGTTGCCAGGAAAGCCGTGTGAAGCTGCGAATGGAATAACCGTAGCTCCTGCTGCCTTCCCCAGATATGTGGGATTCATCAACCAGCCTAAATAGGTTTCAATGTGTGAAGAGTGTGTGGCAGCAAACGGAAGAAAAGGGCTAAAGACTTGGGGTGAGGTGTTAAGAGATGAGACAGAAAGGGAATCGTTTCGCTTTCTACTTTGTGTGTGTGTTCCTTAGCCATCCTCACTAGCAAAAGCTTGAGCCAATTCCTTACAGCAGAATTGATTCAAATATCATACATTTGCTTTTGAAAGAATGATGAGAGCATGTGAAGGGTTTTTTAAAAAATCCCTTTAACTATGTTTATATTTCCGGGTGCATTTGTACGTGCCACATGATCTCAGCTGTTTTGTTTTGCTAGCGAGGATTGTTCTTCTTGTATGTGTGTGAAGTGCTATCAAGTCACTTCTAACTGATGGTGACCTTATGAATTAATGACTTCCAAAAGGTCTTATTGTTAATTAATTAATTAATTAATTAATTATTCATTATTTAGCATTGAGTATGGCATTACAACCAAATTACAAAACTATGGTTGGCACTCCCTTTCCAAACCATGATTACAGCCCATAAATAACTATGGTATTGTGTTTGTTTCTCATATTTTACACAATCCTGGGGGGGGGAGTGGCCTTTTTGGACAGAACTCTTATGAAAAGAAAAACAGTTTATTAAAGAAAAGAATCAGGCAGAAATAGCTCCCCCAAACCATTACTTAGGTGCAAGGGTGTAGACTTTCCAATTTCCCGGGGGTGGGGCTGGGGCTGGGCCAGAGGCATTGCTGTGCTAGGTCTTTAAAAGAACCAAGGCCCAGTGACATCATAGGGAGGAGCCAGTGACAACACAGACCATTGTCACTATTTATGGAGGTGGAGCCATGTTGGATTTAGGAAGGGGCTCTCCAGAAATTTAGGGGGGCCTGGGAACCCTTGGGAACCACTCTAGCCAGGCCCCCGGGCTGGGCTAAACCCAGGAAAAGGTGGGAGTTGGCCAGTAGTTATAGTGGTATCTCAGCAGTCTCCTGCTGTGTTCATTATTTAAATTCACTTTTAGAATATTCAATTTAAGATCTGCAAATATACATACCATGTGCAGGGCACAAACAAATGGTCACAAATTTGAAAGTAAGGAGGGCAACAACACAGAAAAACCTGTAGGTGTCCTGTCATTCCAGTGTCCCACAGCTGAGATTCTATTGCTAGGGATCATCATTCCATTCTGGGGACTGTCATTCCAGTACACAAGCACAGATTCTCTTCCTAGGGACCGTAATTCCACTCTGGGGGCTGTTAGTCTAGTCCGAGAGCCAGATTCTATTCCTAGGGACTGTCTTTCCACTCTGGGGGCCGTCATTCCAGTCCCAGAGTAGGCTATCTGTGCCCAAGCACTTTAATGGAAAAACCATTCCACATTTTCTTTGCCACTTTTTTTGTGCTGCAATGTATTTCAGTGGAGCCCATGCAAGTCAATTCCTGGCTCCCATTATCTCCAGTGGGCCTTCAAGCCTCTTCCATTGTTTCCAATGGGCAATCCTGTCATTCCTTTTATACATCCCAGTTAGTTGTCCCTTTGAAACTGTACCACATCATTTTACGTAACAGCAAAATGAAGAGCATGTACACATACAGAGTGTACATTTCTTGCCAATGTTCTTTCTGGGCTGCACACAGGGCAAAAGGAAATTTTAAAAAGCCTCTGATCTGCATGCCAGTCAGGATAATGCTGTGTGGCATAAACATGAGTTAAATGTTCAGTGTTCTCCCTGGATGGTGTACATATCAAGAACATACCTGTTGCCATTTCCCTCTCTTCCTGCTCACCACCCAGGGAAACAAAAGCCCTATTCACATATTACAGGGAACATATGTACATCTTGCATGGACAATTGTTGCTAGAAAGAGGTAATATACTTTTGCATTACAAATAAAAGCAGCCCGTGAGAGACCATGCTTTGTGTGCCAAAGGATAAAGGTTTAGACCTAGGAGGTCTAAGAGAACAGGTGTTGGAAAGGATCTTTCTCTGTCTGTGTCTCTAGAGCTCACCTGCATCAGAGCAGACCATGCTGAGGTAGATGGACCAATGGCATGAAGACCTGTGTGGATTGAGGATACCCATGTCCAGATCTACATTTTGCAGGACGCTTACTCGGTGATACTGGGACAGTTAGATCTGAGTCCAGTAGCAGATTAGAGACCAACAAGCGTTTCAGGGAATAAGCTTCCAAGAGCCAAAGCTCCCTTCATCAGGCTGGGTGATATTGCCATTGTTGTGAGGTCAATATAAGGGAAGGGAGACTGGAAGAAGGGTGGGATAAAGAGGGGATTGACAGATAACACATGAGCAGAGTCCATTGAGATGGAAGAAGAGTTTACAGAAAAAAATAGCACCAACTGATATGACCAAGTAAACAGATCTTCCCAAACGAAAACATCATAAATTATATCCTGAATATGAACCTATATCGTAATGCATTAAGTGATGTAGCAGTGGAGACAAAACCTTTAGTGGTATTTAGTTGAACTTCCTGGACAGGCAGAGGGTTGCCACTGGCCAAACTGGTCTGACTTTAGAGAGTTGGGACAAGCAGCAAGGCTTGAGGAAGGGGATGTAGATCCCTGGTTATAGAAAAGAAGGAGGCTTGGACCTGAGAGAGCAGAGCAGTCCAAATGAAGCATGACATAGAAAGCTGTACATAGTTGAGAGGAATTAGAATGGAATGGAGATGCACAGTTGGTGTGAAGTACATTTTAGAAATTATAGAAACAGCATATAAGTTTCTTAGGTGGGGTTATCTAGAATGCTTTTGCAAGGTCTGTGTGATATAATAGGGGAGGCAAGTCCACAGACAGGGCCAGTGCCAGGGTTTGGGTTTTTTTGCACACTAGGCGAGGCTACCTTCTGGTGCCCCCCCCGCGCACCCAACAAGTAATACAATCTCTCTCAAACCTCATAAGCCCCTTCCTATGTTTCTCCAGGTTGTTGACAACCCTGTTCTTTCTGAATTATAAAATAAGCCAGTTTCACCAGCGCCTCCCTTCCCCAGTCCAACCTACGCTTCTGGGCAAAACAGCAAATAAGTCAGCAGCCCTGGACCTCTGGGTGGGCTGAGTGGGGCAGCGGTGGCGGCAGGGAGGCAGGCAGCTCCGAGGGCGGGTGGAGGTGGAGGCAGTGGAGTGCCAAGTGAAGAGGGCGGGCCGAGGCAAGGCATCAGCGCCAGCATGCGTGCTGGGCTGGGCTGCGCCGGGCAGGCAGGAGGTGGTGACAGGGCTAGGCTGGGCCGGCGCTGGGGGGCCGGCAGTGACGATGGCCCTGGGGGGGCACAATCATCTGGTGTAGGCACTGGGTGCCTTCTACTATGCTGGCTCACTGGGGAGGACAGAGCGCGAAGGTGGGCGGGCTCAGCCAGGCATCCCCCACTGCCTCTCCACTCCCATCCTGACCGACTGTCCAGGGGCTGTGCTGCACTCACCCGGGGCCCGCTCACTCACCGCCTAGTGGCTGTGGGCTCGTGGCAGAAGAGCAAGCAACCGAGCCAGAGCCATGGAAATGAAGAGCAACTGGCATGACTCTTTTGGCGAGGGTCAAAGGGTGGAGGAGTTCTCAAGCCCCCCCAAATTTCGGGGATGGTCTGTGCCCCCCCACACCCCCATACTCTGCACCTATGCTTAGGTGGATGCCTTTCTTCAGTGTTTATTTAAGCTTAGATTGCTAAGTGACTCTGTAGAAGTGTACATGTTTCAAAAAGTAAAAAAGAAAGCTGGCTTCCTGGTTTCTTGGCCACTCCTGGCCAATGCTCCCTCTAAGCTGTGGAGACTTGTGAGCTACTGGCATTAAAGTTGTGGGCAAGCGATTTGGCTACTGCGTAAATTAGTTTGCTCTGGAACCACCCTTCCTGAGCGAAGACAAAAATGTGTGAGCCAGAGGCTAAAAAACTGTGAGCTAGGTCACACTAACTCAACTTAGAGGGAATACTGCTTCCTGGCCAACGTTCCCACGATGCTCCACAGTGTTGTGAGCAAAAATTCTACCTCAGGAGCAAGAAAACTAGTAGCTTTAAAGTTGTGAGCAAGTCTACATTTGACTATCACATAAATTAGTTTTTAGAAGATTATTTCCATAACCTTGTAAAAATCTCAGAATGGATTCTTTTAAACTATATTTAAACTATATTTTAAGAATAATTAAAACATTATAAGAGAAAACAGAATCAAGTCAAATTTCATTACAGAAAATGTCCTGTACGGGGGTAGACCAGGCCTCTGGAGAACAGGTCTACCTGCCCCTTTCCACTAT